GGGAGGCTGACCCAGGAGGATGGCAAGTCTGAGAACAGCCTGTGCAATCTAGTAAGACCTCCTCTCAAGGGATGTAGCTCATTTGTAGAGTGGTCCTGGTTTCAATCTCAGTATCAGAAAAACCAAGCAAACCATACAAGTGTCACAAAAGCCACTCTATGAGGTTATTCACCGCAGCATAGTTTGTACAAGTATAAAAATGGGGAAGTTAGGCCAGAAATGTATGTCGATATCATGAAATCACTGAAAACAGTGAAGAACATCCACAAATACCTCCATGAAACAGCGCCACAAATGAAAACCAAGCAGTATGCGTCCACACTCTTGTTCAGGGCAGACACTTGTGTGTTGATATATCAGGCACATACATGTACAGAGATCAGCAGATCACACACCAAACGTTCTGGTGGTGTGATGCATAACGGGAGGGAGCTTTTACTATCTCTATTTCTCTACTAGAAGAATTTAAGATTTTTTTTTTGCTACTGGGGATCAAATTTGGGACCTTGTGCTTGTTAGGCAGGCGGCAGAACCACTGAGCTAAAACCCCAGCCCTTACTGAGACAAGGTCTTGCTGTGCAGTTCAGGATAGCCTTAGAACTTACCATATAGCCCAGGCTGGCCTTAAACTTTCGGAGATCCTCCTGCCTCAGCCTTGCCAATGCTGGGATTACAGACATGCAACACTTTGCCCTGCTTCTGCCTCTTGTATGCTGGCTTCTGGCTTCATACTTCCTCCTGGATGCTCCTTGCCAGGCTGCAAGAAGGCTAAGGCACACCAAGAGCCCATGTGTTGGTTCTCTGGACAGAAGCCCAGCAGAGCGCCCAGCCAACAGCTGGCATCAACCACGAGGCCTGTGAGTGAGGCACCTGGTATACCTCATTCAGTGACTCCTTCAAATAAGGGATTTTAAAGATGTCATTAAAGTCCTAAATGGGATTAGCTTAATATGTAGAAAACCCCATCAGGGAGGGTTTTTTGTTTTTGTTTTTTTAAAGCAGAGTTCTCTCTCTTTTTAGGTAGCAGATGAGGAAATGAGGCAGTTGGGAAGCACAAGGGGGACTGAATGCTCTGTTGCTGGCTTGCAGATGGTGAGAGACAAAGACATGTAAACTGCCTTAACAAGCTTAGGGAGCTGCGTGTAATGGTGCATGCCTGTTAATTCCAGCTAGTCAGGAGGCTGAGGCAGGAAGAACCCATGTTCCAGTCCAACCTGGGTAACTTTCTGAGAACCCGTGTTCTTAAAAAAGGGGGGGCCAGGGCCAGGGATTTAGCTCAGTGGTTCCGCCGCCTGCCTTTAAAGCGAAAGGTCCTGAGTTCAATCCCCAGTACCAAAAATAAATAAATAAATAAATAAATAAATAAATAAATAAATAAAAGGGAAGGGAAGGGGGCCATGGGCCGAGGATTTAGCTCAGGGTTTCCACGCCTGCTATGCAAGTGCAAAGACCTGAGTTTGATCCCTGGTACCAAAAAAAAAAAGGGGGGCGGGGCCTGGGGATTTAACTCAGTGGTTCCTTGGCATGCCTCCCAAGCACAAGGTCCTGAGTTTGAGCCCCGGTACCAAAAACAATTAAGGGGCCAGGGATTTAGCTCAGTGGCTCCACACCTGCCTCACAAGTGCAAGGTTATGAGTTTGATCCCTGGTATGGGGGGAGGGGCGGGGGGAGACTAGGGTTGTAGATGGGTGGTAGAGTGCAAGCACAAGGCTCTGGGTTCAATCCCCACTAGTGGGGGGAAAAAGCTGAGGGAAGCTTTAGGTCAACAGACCGCTCAAAACTGTAAGAACTGCATGAGCCTGGCAGCAGATTCTTTACTCAGCCCTTAGCTTCCTAGCTCCTGCTCTATATTCCAGTCCCTTGGCCCAAGCCGGCCTCATCACTTTTTCCCTTACTCTTCTTTGTCCAGTTCATCTCGTTTCCCTTTGGGGTTGCTGTAGGTGATCTGGAAGTCTGCTTTTGAGGCTTGTTTACATGTCTTCTCACTTCGACAGGGGTGGGGGTGGGGTGGGGTGCTGCTACTGGTGCCCACGTGGCTCACCTTCTCTGTGCTGGGAGTGGTGCTACGGCGGCCTGGAAGCCTCCTCCTCTGTGCTAGGTGCAGAGTTACGGCAGCCCCTTCTTTGTCCAGTTCAGTAAGGAGCTAATGCTAACTGCTTTTCTGGCTCTTCACTTCTTTCTGAGGGCCCCCAGGCCAAGTGAAACTTATGTAATTACACAGATGTGTTTATTGTCTCTAATCTACTTCATGGGATTCTTACTCTTGAACCAATGGGACCCTAAGAGAATGGATGTGGTTGCTCCTACAGCCTCTAGATAAAGCCCATCTGACCCACACCGTGGTCAGCATAAACAGCGGAGACCTGCCTGACACCTGATATAAGAGCTTCGAGCTAAGCAATGGATTACCTTATGCTGCTTTACTGATAGCCATTTTTACTCAGCAAAGGAGAAACACAGTGCATAGAGAGAACATGTGTAAATAGGGTTGTATCCACAAGACGCTATATATATTACATGGCAATTTAAACAAATCAACTAGATTTGTATGCATTAATGTGGAAGAAACTAGTTTCGAGAAAGCAGGGCTGGGGATTTAGATCAGTTGTTCCGCCACCTGCTTCACAAGCACAAGGTCCTGAGTTCGAACCCCAGTACAAAAAAAAAAAGTAAAAAAATCACATTATGAAATACAGTCTCATCTTATACAATTTTGAGCAACAAACCATGGCTGTGCATAGTTATTATTATTCACATTCTACATGCACTCTAATCAAACATACTTGCTGGGGTGCAGCTCACTGGTAAGGTGCTTGCCTAGCAGGAGCAAGGAAGGCCCTGGGCTGGATCCCTAGCACCACAACAAACAAACAACAAACCCCACCCACAATACAACATAAAGTCACAGAAGGGAACACATTAATTTCTGAGCATTATTTTTCTTGGATGAGTGAAAAGGAAAAAAAAAAAAAGGATTGGAATAAAGTATTAAGGAGGCCTCACTTTCACCTCTAGTTTTTTTAGTGTATTAATAGGTGTTAAGTCTGGGTTGTAAAGGTATTTGGTTTCTTTGAGATAAGCTCTCACTATGTAGCCCAGGCTGGCCTTGAATTCTTTTTTTTTTTAATTGGTACCAGGGATCGAACTCAGGACCTTGCCCTTGTGAGGCAGGTGGCAGAACCACTGAGCTAAATCCCGGGCCAATGGCCTTGAATTCCCAGTGATCCTCCTGCCTCAGCCTCCTAAATACTGGGATTATAGGTATATGGCATCACAGTCAGCTCTTTTCTTTTTGAGGCAGAGTCCCACTGCCCAGGATGTCCCTGAACTTTCAACATGCCTGCCTCAGCCTCCTGAGTGCTGGATTACAAGTGTGCACCACTACACCTGGCTATATTCCTTCCTATTATCTTTCTTCCCTCCCTCCTTTCCTTCCTTCCTTCCTAAAGCTGAGGACTGAACTCAGGGCCCTGGCACTAAGCTACATCTCTAGTTCTTTTTTCAGTTTTGATTTTGAGACAGGTTCATACTAAGTCACACAGTTGCCCACGCTGGGGTCCAACTTTCCATCCTCCTGCCTCAGGCTCCTAGGGTGCTAGGATCACAAGTGTGCGCCATCCTGCTACAGGGTCAAAATGTCAAAAGATCTTCCCTGTTCACAGCAGGACCAATGGCTTGTTCTAAAGATTAGTTGTCTGACACCTGGCAGAGTATTCCGCTGTGAGCAGAGCTCCTGTGGCTTGGCCGCTCTCAGTGATGTTCCCTCTCTGAAGTACAGGTTCCTGGCAGCTCCTGGAGGCTGCATACTCTCTAGTCCTGGTCATACACAGCTGGGACACTGCCACTTCTGTTTCACTCTTCAAGGGGCCTCACTGGCAGGGGACTCTGAAGTCTCATCCCAGTCAGCACCCTGAAAGTTGTACCTGGGACTCCCCAGTGCTGGACTTCGGGAGTCAGTACTTGCCCGTCTGATGATGTAACTTTCTTTTTGTACTCTTACTTTCTTCTGTGTAATCGTGTGTGTTAATCAACAGTTTATTAAACTTTGTTTTATTGTCCTTACCTTGGTGTTAGATGCTTTTGTTGTTCTCAAATCCAGACCTCTAAATTAAGCAGGTGCAACTGTAGTCTCGTTAAGGGTACACATGCCTGGCTCTATTTGTGTGTGTATGTGTGTGTGTTTTGAGACAGGGTCTCACTGTGTAGCCCAGGCTGGCCTTGAACTCACGGCAAGTCTCTTCCCTCAGCCTCCCAAGTGCTGGGATAACCAGTGTGTGCCACCAGACCTGGCTTCTGGCTCTATTTTTTTTTTTTTTTT